GCCTTTATGAATACGCGTTCAAGTTAAGCTTTTCAAGTCGGTTTTTATCGTATCAAAAGATTTGTCGAAACCAAAATTTTAATCTGCTGCACTAATTCACCCCCCCCCCCCCCCCCCCCCCCTCCCTCATAGTGCCGCTCCGATCCTAACAATGGCATCGCCTGGCAGATCCGGTCTCCCAACTGTTCTGGGCGATGGTACCGTCGGCAATTAATGCTACTAGTGGTGGTACCGCCCCTGTCAAGCAATGGTACCATTAGAGCTCGGTCTCCAAGCTCTGCCAGGCGGTCGTACCTCCCAGACTGGGCGGTGTTACTGCCTAGTAATGGCGGTGGTACCGCCAGTACCCTGGAAAACCGGGATGAGACACTTTTTGGCTCCAATTTTGAAGCCATTGGGGCCTATAAATACCCCACCCTTTTCTACATGAAAGGGCACGAAAGGCATAATCTTGAATCTTTGAAATGTTAAAGTGTTGTAAAAGTACTATAGTCCTCCTCCACCCTTTCTAAGTGTTGAGATCATTCAAAAGAGGTGTGAGACTTGTAAGGGTTATCTCCTAAACCCGTGAAAATGAGAAAGCACTGTAAAGAGGTGGTTGGTCTTCGCCTATTGAAGGAAGACCATTAGTGGATGCTAGTGACCTCGACGGAGGAGGAATCGGAAGTGGATGTAGGTCACAACGATCGAACCACTCAAATTCTGATTTGCTTTTCTATTTGTGTAATTTACATTACTGCAAACTTCCTTACCATTCTCTTTGCACTTTTACGAAAGCTTTCAAGTTCAATTTTTTTCTGAAATGGATTGAATCGAAACGAATATTTTTCGGAATCAACGCTTTTTTCGCTACACTTATTCACCCTCCTCCCCCCCCCCTACCTCTTCTTAGTGACACTCTTGATCCTAACAATCGAAACAATCCACCAAGCATACTCAATTTTAATATTAAAAATAAATAATTAAATAATTAAAAACTTATAAAATAATTAAAAGTCATCTTGGGATTTTAACCGGTGATAAGAATTTATTTTTCCAATATTGGGAAAGCTGATTGCGCAGAAAATTGAAGTCATAATATATTTTTGATCTCTAAAACATATCTCATAATTCAAGTCATAAAATTAATGTGAAATAAGTATTAAAAGTCTGATTTATTAAAAAACTAAGAAAATGACTATTTTGACTTCTTTTTATTCAGTGTTCGGAGACTCGTCGTCAATAATAAAAAATTCATGATAAAAATTCAGCTAATATGATCAAACATTATGAATTAAACAACATAATTTACAATTAAGTGGCTTAAATATATTTGGCGCACCGAAAGTAAGATATTTGTTTGTGTATTAAATGGTTAATTAGAAGGAAAAATAAATAATAATAAAAATAAGGCAGTTGGACTTGCACCAGCAGGGCTGTCATCGTCCCACCGGATTGATGAGCTGAGAGAACACTGCACTATTGGTTATATCATCCGAGTCCTCGCTCCCTACGCCGGTACTTCCGGACTGGTGGCTGCCACCACCATTCACCCCTGACGCAGCTCTGTCACTAACCTCCTCTGAGACCGGTTTCCCACTTTCGAAGTTGTCTTGCAGTTGCAGTGCGAACTCGAGGTTCCACAACACATCCCCCATGGAAGGCCTATCAACTCCATGATCCAACAGGCACTTCTCAGCCGTCTCTGCAGACTTCTTCAAGCACTCGGGGCTACTTTTTCCTTCCAGGTGAGGGTCGATGATGTCCGCCAGCACTCCCTTCTTCTAGCAGTGTAATGCCCAGTCGGCGAGGCTGACCTGCTCCTTTGGAAGATTTGGGCTCAGTGCTGCTCTTGCACACAACACCTCGAAAAGAACCACCCCGAACGAGTAGACATCGGACTTATCGGTCAACTGCTGCCGCCTGAAGTACTCCGGATCCAAGTAGCCGAAGCTTCCTTTGACCATGGTGCTCACATGGGTTTGATTCATCGTGGGACCGGTCTTGGATAGCCCGAAATCTGAAACCTTGGCCATCCATTTCTCGTCCAGTAGAATGTTGGTGGTCTTGACATCCCTGTGGATTATGGTGTACTTGGCACCGGTGTGGAGGTAGTGAAGCCCCCTGGCTGCTCCGATGCAGATCTCCAACCTTTGTTTCCATGACAATGGAGGATTGTTGGTCTTGTACAGATGCTCCCTGAGTGTGCCATACGCCATGTAGTCGTAGACCAAGATCATCTCACCGTTTTCTTCGCAGAAGCCGATGAGAGAGACCAAATGCTTGTGCCTCAGCTTTGAAAGCATCTCGATCTCCGTTTGGAATTCATTAACGCCTTGTTCCGAGGACGGATTGGATCTCTTGATTGCCACTTTGGTGCCCTCGTCGACCACTCCTTTGTAGACTTTCCCGAACCCTCCAACTCCAATGACCAGCGACTCGTCGAAGCTCTTAGTTGCCTTCTTTATCTCCGCAAACGAGAAATGCCTGCACATAGCCGTTAAATTCGACAGGTGGCTGCTCGCGCAACTCTTGCCGGAGATGGTTGAGCTGCTGGCCGAGGTATGAGAGTTCCCACCGTAGATAGGCAACCAAGCCGAGACACCGGTGGACTCGTTTCCAACCATCCTCTTCTTGCGCTGATACATCACAACGCAGAGGACGAAGGCTACGCTGGCAGCTACAACGCCACCTGCTGCACTGCCGATAAGTGTTGGGTCCAGCCCATATGTGGGCTTTGACAATTGGGCCTATTGAGCCCAAATCAACAAATGAAAAAAATTAAAAAGAGGAGAGAGAAGGTGAGAAAAAGAGAGCAGATTGCAGCGTGCAGCGGGTGCATAGGAAAGAGGAGAGAGAAATAGAGAGAGAAAGATTATGTTTCTGAGTTTTCTACTTGACGATCTGTGGCCAAACGTTGTCAGTCTCGGCCCAAATTTTATGTGGAGAATCTTTGCAGCAAACTCTATAATCCTAATGGTGTTGATCTGCAGTTTACCCTCTCTAAGGTACTTTCCTACGATATCCACTCTGTAAGATCTAGAATTCTCTTTTGATGACATCCATCCTACATGATGAAGATATGCTGTTGTTGAGCCAAGATCTATATTCTTGATGTTATTCTGATCCTCTAGTTATTCTAGAAAAGACCTACTGTAAACCTGTTATCATTATTATTGATAGTGGAAGTTTGAGGTGGACTACGATCCCGTGGTTTTTCCCACATTGGGTTTTTCACGTTAAAAAGATTTGGTCTCACTGTGTGATTGATATCTGGTTGATATTTTCATTTGGATATCAAGTTGGTATTTTGATTAGGAACCTATTTTGATACACAAAAAGGGAAAGAATTATTCCGCTTTAATAGATTTTTCCCAACAAGTGGTATCAGAGCATCAGGTTGTTTGGTGCTAGTTTTTCTTGTGTGATTGAAATGGAGCAGTCAGATTGAATGATTAAATTGAACTCATCAAATTATTCCACTTGGAGGCGTTTGATGGAAGATTTGCTATATTGCAAACATTTGTATAAGCCTATCAAGGTTAAAGATAAACCTTCTACTATGGACGATAAAGAATGGGAAGTTCAACATAGAAAAGTCATTGCCTATATTAGAAGATGGATGGATATAAACTTGCATTAACATATTTCTGATGAAACCAGAGCTGATGTTGTTTGGCAAAGGTTAGAAAACCTCTTTGCGAAAAAGACAATGGGAAATAGAATTTCTCTCCTCAGAAGGCTTGTAAATTTGAAGTATAAAGATGGCGGTAACATTATTGAGCACATAAGCCTATTTCAGAGTCTTGCAAACAAGTTAGTTGCTATCAAAATGAATATAGATGATGAGATGCAGGAATTGTTACTTCTCAGCTCTTTACCAGAAAGTTGGGAAACGTATGTGGTGACTATTTGTAACTCCACGCCAGAGGGGACTCTAACTATTGATATGGTTAAAGACAGTTTGCTAAATGAAGATGCCAAAAGAAAAGAACAAGGTGAATCTTCTTCTAGTGCATTTGTTACTGAAAAACAAGAAAGACGTGGAAGAAGTCATAGTAGAAATCCACATGAATATAGAGGAAGATCTAAGTCTAGAAGAGATATCAAATGTTTTCACTGTAATAGGCCAGGTCACATGAAGAAAGAGTGTAGGTTTTGTAAGCGAGAACAGAATGAAATGAAGAAAAATGAGATAGAGACCAATACAGTTGCTGCTGAAGGTAATACCACTATTGTTTGTGATAAAGGTTGTGTTAGTCTTATAGCTCAGGAGGGTTATTGGGCAATTGACTCTGGTGCTTCATTTCATGTTACTTCTCATGGTGATTTCTTTAGATCTTACACTGTTGGTGATTTTGGTAATGTTAGAATGGGAAACAATAGTACATCTAAGATTGTGGGTATTGGAGATATTTGCTTAGAGACCAGTATTGAGAGCAAATTAATACTCAAAGATGTAAGGCATGTTCCAGATATTCGTCTTAACTTGATATCTACAGGTAGACTTGACGATGAGGGCTTTGCACATTATTTTGGTGAAAGCAAATGGAAACTCACTAAAGGTTCTCTGATTGTGGCAAAAGGAAAAAAGATTAACTCTTTTTATGTCATGGAAGCTAAGCTACACAAAGGAGAGATTAATCTTTGGCATAAGAGGCTTGGAC